TTGCACCATCTCCATGCCCCCAACCCTATTTGAAACAGTTCACATCCTTGAGAGTTGACTATAACTAGAAAATCTTTCTCCTTTTTTTCCTGTGAAGATATAAATACGTAGCTACAGAGAAAGAGCAATAGATAAAGATAATTTACTACAACATTAAGTTGAACATGCAGATTCTCAGCATGTCTTTATATGCAGCTAAACTGTAGTGAGAAAGTCAGCAGCTTTTAACAGCTAAACTTGACCACTGCACTCTTGATCAAAATAGAAAAAACTAGCACAATGTGACTGATTCTCCGTTTCACTCTGATAGATGCATCTCAGCTCAAGCATAAGAGTATAAATCCATGTACATACACTTGAGGACTGGAGTAAATGTTTAACTAAGACCTGCTCATTGTGAATTTTGTGGAATTCAGGACACAGTTATTGGTGGTGGAAGATGCCTGACATCTGCCTGACGTGTTAAGCACTGCTTAGCTCTCAGACAGCATTTTGCATGACTCACTCTGAAGCACGTCATGACAGATGCTCCAAAGGTGACAGTTCCCTGCAACTGCAGAACGGCCAAGCCCATCAACAGGGTGCACAGTAGATTTTACCATTTAACTTTCTATACTGAAAACATATCTCAAATCCACTAGCCTTTCTCCTGCTGTCCCACAGGCCTGTGAGCACCATCCTTACATGTGTGAGAGCCAAAGAGACAAAGTGATTTACTCAGCACTGTGCAGTTAAGTGGTGGGGACATAAGAATTTTATTTAGATTCCAAATCATTTTGCTGCACAGGTGCCACAAAAGCAAGCTGGGGCTGTGCTAGACTTTGTGAACTGGGTAATGTGCCCTAGATTCTGCGTTCATGTTTTTCTCTGTAGTCAGCCAAACCTTTGGATATGAAATCTGAATTGTCTAATAATCTAAAATATAAAATTAAAAAATAATAGCAAAACCCTAGATCTAGACAACATGTTATGATCTTGTGTTCCATAGTACACACCACAGAATCAAATCATTGAGCCATCTATGGATCAGGAAACCCTTTCTGGTGGAACAAAACTACATCTCAAATAACAAAATCAGGGATAGCTTATAGAGGAGATAGTCCACTAGCATCTGCTTGTATTTCAGTAGCTTACAGCTCTCTGACATAGGCAAGTCACTGGTTTGTTTTCTGGTTTGAGTGCTTCCTCGACCACTGATTCAGCTATTCTGGGATGTCAAAAAGCCCCAAGGAAAAAAATTTCATACCCAACGTGGTAACCAACCACAGAAGCAAGTTTCACGATCTCTCTCAGTGAAGCAGTAATGCTTCAATAAGATAGAAAGTTCATTTCAAACACAGCTTGGCAAATAGCCATAAAATTGCCAGAAATGTGTCTAAGCAGTGTTTTGTAGTGCTTGTGCCCCCATTGTTTGGAAGATTACATGAAGAACCACTGGATAAAAAAGAGAAAGTACACTTCCAAAATAATGTCAATATAATTAAAAAGAGAGACAACTAAATTTGAGTTAGTGCTTACACTCCCACTTGAAAGAGACCCAAAACCGGCATGTTTTTCTGTTCTCATTTATTTGTAGATTGGTTTTGATCCAGACAAGGAATGGTAGGTCACCAGTGCTGCCCATCTTCCCCTTCCCAAAGAAAGAGACCCAGCCAACTGAAGGAAGAACAGAACCTCCTATTCCAAACATAACTCCCTAAAGGGTGTTAGCTGGAAGAAAACAAATCTGTGACAAACCTGCCAATAACTTGTTTTTTTCCTGCCCAGGGATAACTAGCCTAATCTCTTGTCAGATCAACAGAATAAATTGAGGAAGAAACAGACTTTTTCATAAACCCAGATTCTCACCTGCTAGGGTTAAGTCTCCCTGATATAGGCAATATCCATAACATATTTTATATCTATGATACTAATATAAGGCAATTAGTTTTTGAGGGGGGCTTACAGATAAGCAGACTGCAGAGCTGGCACATAACTTCTGTGAGGTGCAGTCAGTAGGAGAGCTGACCCGCGAACAACTGATATTTTTGGAAACTGGAAGCCCAAAGTTCCAGTTGTGTTTTTACCCAGCTTGGGTATTTTAAAGCTTTTCTGCCAGTTTCATTTATTTGTATGATTTTGTTTTGTTTTCAAATCCATACCACTGTATGCCCAAATTTTCCGGATAATATCCTGTGATATTCCTTTATTCTTGACAGACATCCCTGGTGATTTCCTGCAGGAGTCAACAATGTCTATTCTCCACAGTGAAAGCAGTAATATAACTGATTATGGGGATTTTTGGTAACACCTGCATCTACTTTATCAGAAGATGATACATTAAGATTATTCTACAAAAAAAAAATATATATATTGACAGGTTTTTCAAACTCCAAAGCTCTTTAACCTGTACTAAATTACATTTGATTGTGGCACAAAGTTGTTTTGTCTAATTTCAAAACAAGATTTTGGAAGAACTTCAAATTCTCTGGAGTCAAATCAGTGAAAACTAAGAAAATCTGCTGTGAGTAACATTTTCCTTTGTGGTAAGCTGCTTTTGAGTAATATTGAGCTGATTACACGTTATGCATACTAACAATTACCTTCCTGAATCTCTTGGCATTTCTCTTTTTTCCTTTTGACTGTAGAAATCAGTATCATTGTGCAGGGCTTGCAGGGTCTACCTGCTTGCTAAGTGATTTGTATTTATTTGGCATTTTGTCAATGTCTATATGCATGTTTAATAGGCTTGCAGCACACATTTGTGATGCAGTTATGAAAGGTGTGATGCCTCCCTAAATAGTTGGTTTAAGGTCATGATTGCGCAACTTACCCCTGCATGATTAACTTTGAAATGGGAAGAAGTCGCTTCCAACTGTGTAACATCTTCTTTCAAGTTATCATCAACTGGACACTGTCCTTCAGCCAGAGCAAAAGGAAAACACTGTCTGAGATTTCAGCTCCAAAGCAAGCAGTTTTCATCTGAAATACCTCCTTTTCTCTCATGAGTGGGTTTTCAGTTCTTGGTTGGGAGAATACACATTTATGAACTTGCAAAGCCAGCCTTTGTGAGGGCAGTCTTCTTTTCCTTAATAGTGGGGGATGTCTTTTTCTGAAGTGCAGGAAAAATCAGGAAGGACTCCTTACTTTGTCATTCATGTATGTTTGACAGTGTTACTTCTTGAGGTTTGCTAAGAAATGCCAGCCTCTTCTGAAAGCAGTGTGAAGGAATATTTTGGCATTTGGTTGTCTCATTTACCACATAGCCTTGGAGTAGCAAATGAGATAAACAAATAGGTAGGAAGCCTATCTTTCTTTAGACATGATTTTCATGCATTTTGTTTTTTAAAATAACATGCCCTGCTTAAAACTTTCGCAAACTTCCAGTAGACATGGACTGGTTTTGTGAACCTTATGGATATACCATACTATTTACTCCAGCTGCTGTCAAAATTAGCTTGCAGCCTTTTTAAGACTATAGAGGTCTGAAGTATCTTTATTTTCACATTTTTATGGCACCCAGGGCTTGAATTGCGAATTCATTAAAGTAAATTAAAGTAAAAATTAAAGTAAAAATTCATTCAGTAAAGAAAGAGGAAAGAAAAGGGAAAAAAAAAAAAAGACTAACCAAACAAAAAGACCAAGCAACAAAACCACAATGCTAGGAAGTCAACAGCTTGTGTGTAAATACTCAATTATGTGACCAGGAGCAACTATTATCGTGTGTGGAACTCCACTCATTTCTATGTATCTGAGCACAGAAATAGTAGCCAGTGCGAGTGAAGAAGCAGAATTTGGCACTAGGTTGATTTGATTACAGGAACACAGCAAGTGTCGCAAATAAAACCACGAACTTAGCCCTCACATGGACAGTCTTCACTGGCCACACCAGTTGGTGTTCTGCTGCTGTTGGAAATTGCCTGGACCAATTGGTACTGAAAACAGGGACCTTTCTTGCTAGCACGGCTGTGCCTTTCTAAAGCATTAGGCCAAGGAAGTAATTTCGTTGTTTTGGTGACGTGACAGTCGTTTCAGTCAAAGGTGGGGGGGTAAACAAGTGGGCAGCACGGTTGGCAAAGGATCAAAAAGCAGATAACGGTGAGACAGAGCAGGACTATGATGGCAGGCTTCCCCGGGAGAGCCAGCGAAAGGTGCTGCGTGTCCCCACGTACCCCACGGATCAGAGCCCACCTGCTACAGCGAGGAAACGGGTCGCTGCCACACGGGAACCTCCAGAAGCGGCGTGGTGGAGCCTACCTGAATGGGAAAAAAAAATAAAAATAAATAAACAAAACCAAACAAACAAAAAAAAGAAATGAGGAGCTCTTACTTCCTCGTACTTCCAAGAAACTCCGCGCTCCGCCCGGTGCCGGGCTCAGCAAAGGGTATTTTCCCTGCCCGCCCCGGGAGGTTCCCCCTCCAGCCCCCCGGGCGACACAAGGCGGGGGGAGACACACGGGGGGCGGCCGGGCCCCGGGGCGGCGGAGGGGGA